GCTGGTGGAAACGTGGCAGGGCTCTGGTAAAACACCAGTGTCATTCACCTGTTCATGCACACACACACACACTCTGATGGCATTCAAGGTGCTGCTCTGACCTCTGGGAGCAGTTCAAACTTCATGTGGACAGGAGGAGCTGGCACTGTACAGGCAGCCCTGCAGATGGTGGACAACCTGCTCCACCTTCTGTCTCCTAGAAACTGGGTTTATATGCAACAGCAAATATGTTTAGAGAGACGTGTAATCACGGTCCAGTGCAACTGCTTGGTGTTTTGTTTTGTTTTGTTTTTGCCTTTTTTTAAATAATCGAAGCGTTACACTTGTAGCTTTATTTAACCAGTGTTTTACCAGGAAACCCACCGAGGTGGGACACCTCTTCTACATGGCGCCCCAGCCGAGACAGCAGCGGGGGTGTCAGAGCAGAATACGCTTCTGTGTGTCATCCCAGTAAACATGAACAAAAGCGGTTTGATTTGAAGGACTTTTTTTGGTAAGGGCTGTGAGAATGGAGTCACCGCAGGGCACAAAGCCTTCGGGGCATCATCTGAGTTTTACTAGTGCAGTAGCTCTTAGCTTATTTTTTATTTCTTTGTCTCCTGAACATTAAAAGTGAAGTCACATCTACTTGCAGCTCTTCACCACATGTGCATATTCACAAAGTAGGTCAACCAATCATGTCTTTTTCTGCTGTAACATAGTTTTGAGATGTTCTCAAATGTCTGTTAACTAAAACGTGGCTTTCTTTCAGGTGGGATATGGAGCAAACAAAAATAGTGTTCCCACTTTAGACCAGATCTATCATTTCTTCTTGTTCAGTTCAGTTTTATTTGTATAGCGCCAAATCACAACAAGCCGTCTCAGGACGCTGTACGGTTCTGGTTCCCAGTCAGTGTATGCTCCCCTTCAGTAGCACAGTTGCAGGTATTTTCACCTGGGTGTAGTTCTGAGTCCTCATCACCTGCCTTCTCTCTGCAGATTCCTCAGATCAGCTATGCTTCCACCGCCCCGGAGCTGAGCGACGACCGGCGGTACGACTTCTTCTCCCGGGTGGTCCCTCCGGACAGCTTCCAGGCTCAGGCCATGGTGGACATCGTCAAGGCCATGGGCTGGAACTACGTGTCGACTGTGGCCTCAGAGGGCAGCTATGGGGAGAAGGGGGTGGATGCCTTCATGCAGCTTTCCAGAGAAGCAGGTAAGACTGTGGCTGGCATTCAAAAACATGAATGTCAGTTTGATTTGTTTCTTAATGTCAAAGACCTGGAGACAAATCTGATGTAAACTGCTGAGTCACAGAAGCTGGAAGGGAATTTCATTAGACTATACAGTGATGCTGATTGGCCTCTGAATAATCTCAGTGACATTTGGAGCAATCTGACGAGTCTCCACAACTCACCAGTGAGGAGGTGTCCTGACATTTATGTGCTGGGATTATTAAAGGACACAGCGCTGCCAGGGAGCCCAGAGAAAAACCAGGAACCTCTTTACTGTGCCACCAACAACACCTCTCATGGAGAGGGTCTTGGTCATTGAGGCCTGCTGGCTTTGGAGCAGTGATTTGATGATAATGGATTGCACCACAGCCCCCAAGCAGATTCTATGTAACAGGTTGTGTTGTTGTTCAGGAAACAACTCAGGCTCCGTGATATCACTTACATCATTGTACATTTTAAATGTAGAATCAAGGTCTCGACTGCAAAATGTCCCTTCACCTTCGTTTTCAGGTGTACACGGTAAATTACATTTGAACGTGGTCAGAAAAGGACCAGAAAGACAAGACACAAGAGGTGATGAGTTAAAAACTAGGGGCTGTATTTACAAAATAACTTGGCTCAGCACAGGGAATCTTCTAAACTGTGTGAAATGCTTAGTGAACTGAACAAAACATTGACTTTCAGCAGCAAGCACCATTTGCATGTTGATATATTTGTGAACTTCACAAAGAGGAGCTCATTGTTTGGTGCATTATTCACCATAAAATTAATTTAATGTGCCATTAAAATCTCTCAAACTAATCTGAAGAGTGAATTCTTGATTTATTGAATAATTCTGACAAATGGCTCAGTTGTTTTTCCACACGGTGTCAGAAGTGAAGACTTGTACAAGGCATCATACTTTGTTAGTGAGATGAACATCTCCGCCATCAGAAGGAGCTTTTAAAAGTTTAATGTCACTGTGCCTTTACAAAATGCTGACAAAACAAGGGTGCTTCCTTGCAGCAGGTGTCAGTGACTCGGGTGTCCTCTGGAGTCTGGAGCTGCTTTTAGGACTGATGCTTTTAGGCTACAGGCTTTAGAGTCCTAAAGTCAGGACTGACTCAGACCTTGCTTGTAGGAGTTTTCTGGACAGTTAAGAAGAGCCTGTTAGCCTGTGGATGTTCTGTGATTCTCTACTGTGAGCAATGGGAAGAACAAAGAAGCCCCACCACCACACACAACAGCTGAATGCTGTCCAAGCACCTTCAGTTGTCCAAGTGTGTAAAGGATGAGTAGGGGGACGCCCCATAGCTGAGCAGTTATGGCATGGTGCACCACCCACCAGCCAGCACACTGCGTGCGCGATGTCAGCAGGTCAAGAACGAATGCCCACATTTGTTGCAGGTCTCCCCTGTTTCCTGTCTGCCTCTCCGCAAATCACTATAAAAGCTAAAAAGCCCAAAATATAAAAAAAAAGGACAGGTAGGGACAGGACTGAACATCTGGTGTGATGTTGGTGTGTGGTTGTAGCTGTGCAGCGGCCCAGTACAGACCACCACAAGATGGCAAAACGATGATGACACCAGAAGCAGTAGATCACTGTGAGATTCTGGCCAGTGAGCAGATGTAATTGCTCCTAAAGCCTTTTCTTTCTGAAGCGATCAGTACTGCGCTGCCTTAGCCAACCGTTGAGCTCGGGAGCATCTGATAAAAGCGCTGCGTGTGTGAGAAATGAGCAGGTCTCTCTGGGTTATCTGCAGATTTGAGCGTAATCCACCCTGTATTGACTGCTTGAGATTCTTCCTATCAGTTGGCAGATACACATCCACTTGTAAACTTGCGCACACACACACACACACACACACACACACACACACACACACACACACACACACAGTGCTGGCAATATAATTAGACAGCAGGGTGTTGAGATAGCAGCCTTCACATGCACACACATCCAGAGCGATTAGTCAGGTGGTGGGAGACTGATTAGCAGCAAAGAGTTTCTCTCTTATCTAAAGTTTTCTCAGGCTTCTGTCTCAGCTCCTTTGTTATTCAGGAGAGTCTCCCACAGCAGGGCCTGTGACATTAAAAAAAACACATGCAGTCCCATGGCAAGCTCACTGTCAGGACGAGAAGCAGTTTCATATTTAGACATCGATTTGCTTGTCTCTTTGGACACAAGGTTTTTCTTCTCATTCATTACAGTCAATTATCAGTCGATGGCAAGTTACTGGCAAAGACCTGACACCCAGCTCTGCTGAATCCAGTGTGGTGGTGCCTGACTTGTAGAATAACACTATGGAGTACATGGAAGATTTCACTTTTGAAGTGCTTTTTCCAAGAAATCTGACCTGCAGATCCTGTAGGACCTGTTGGAAACGCTGTGTTGTCATCAAATGCCTTTAAAACAAGGTGAGAATCTAAAAAATGTGAACTTGAGTCCAGTTTTAATAGACAGATAGTTTTGTCCTGTGCTGTTAAAAGCTGCTCCAACAACAAACTGATGCTTTGGATAAACAACAATGTGGACTCCACTTTGTTGTTTCTCCATGAGACTGACCAGTGTGTGTTAACCACAGAGTCCCTGTTCCACAGGGCAGACGATGAGCGGACGCCCTGCTGTTAGCTCAGTGCTGTGTGTGTGTACGCAGTGGTCACTTGTTGGACATAGTTCAGTTTGTGCAGCATGATGTGTAAAATGTCTGCTTTGTGGAAATAGAGCTATTGCAACATGTACAAAAGGTTATTTTATGACAGTGAGCCAACATCTCAGGATGGTTCGCGGACTTTCATAGCAGTCAGCTAACAGGAGAGACGCCTCTGCACACTGATCTGAGTTCTGTTTGTGTTTTGGCTACGAGATGTGAGGCTGTGGAAGTCGAGTGAACAGTGCGTGGATTCTATGTCTGCTCCTGTCGGGCAGCTAACTCTAGCTAGCAGCTGTCTGCAGTTGAATCCGTTTCTGTCCCGTCTCTGCTCAGACTGATCATTAAGTATCTGGAT